GATCATCTATTCCACAGTCTGCCCCTGGCCTTGTTTTGTTTGATGATGCTGAGTTTCTCCACCATCTCCTCTCACAGATTTGGTCAATTTGACTCCTGTGTATTCCATCTGGTAAGGTCCATGTATATTTTATGTTATCAACAAAGGCATTTGCAATGAATAAGTCATTGGTCTTGCAAAACTTTACTATGCAGTCTCCAGTATCTTTTCTATCACCAAGGCCTTATTTTCCAACTACTGATTCTTCTTGCTTCCAACGTTTGCATTCTAATCACTAGTAATGATCAATGCATCTTGATTACATGTTTGATCAATTTCAGACTGAAGAAGTTGGTAGAATTCTTCAATTTCTTCTTTACTGGCTTTAGTGGTTGGTGTGTAGATTTGAATAATTGTGGTATGAACTGGGCTTCCCTGTAAGCACATGGCTATTATCCTATCACAAACAGCGTTGTACTTCAAGACAGATCTTAAAAAGCTCTTTTTCCTCTTTAATTTATTGTTCAGGCATAGTAAACCACATGATTGTCGGATTCAAAGTGGCCAATGCCAGTCCATTTCAGCTCACGAATGCCTAGGATATCTATCTTTATGCATCCCATTTCATTTGGATGACTTCCAGTTTGCCTAGGTTCATACTTATTTTATTCCACATTTTGAGTGTCAGATGTTTGCTGCTGTTTCTTCCCATCTTGAGTTGTGTCCCACTAGCCAATGGCGGTTCCAAAGCTTTGCTCCATTCACACTATTCCACTCTGAAGAGGCAGCTCTTCCTCTGTTGGATTTTAAGTGCTTTCCAACCTGAGAGGCTCAGCTTGCAGCATTGTATCAGATAGTGTCTTGCTGTTCTTCATAAGGTTTACAGGGGCTAATCATTTAGAAGTTCTCTGCATCTCCTTTTTCCTAGCCTGTCTTAGTCTGGAAGCTCTGCTAAAACCTGTCCACCACGTGTGACTATTCTGGTATTTAAAATCTTGGTGGCATAGCTTCCAGAATCACAGCCACACATAAGCCACCACAGGAAGATAAACTGACAACTAAAGGTGGAGTGTTACCATGTTGTTGTTAAGTGCCATCGAGTCGCGAGTCGATTCCGGCCCATAGCGACCCTGTATGGGGTTTACAAGGAGCAGCTGGTGAGCTTGAACTGCCGACCTTGCAGTTCAAACAGCTTTGCAGTCTGGCGCATTAACTTACAGCGCCACACCAGGACTCCGGAGAGTTACCATAGGACCACACAATTCCATTCCTAGATATATACCTCAAAGAGTTGAAAGTCGGAATTCAAACAGGTGCTTTCACACCATTGTTTATAGCAGCACAATTCACAATGGAGGTAGTCCCCAGATTATGAATGAGTTCCATTCCTAAATCTCTCTTTAAAACGAATTTGTACGTAAATTGGAACAGTCAGCGACAATTCATACCTAGCATCAGTTAGTTAAATGTTTGTCTTTAGTGTACCTTTCTATGCATAAAAAACCAAATTCAGTCATATGAGATCAAAGTGACAGTATTTCTCTAGGGAGAAAGCTCAGAAGGCAGGAAGGGATAGGAAAGAAGGATGAATGAAATGATTAAACACAGGAAGGAAGTGGGAAGAACGCTGTTACAATATGGAGATAATAATCAGTGTCAGAAAACTAAATGGGTCTGAATTGTTGAATGGAAAATCAACTTGCTCTGTAAACTTTCACCCAAATCACAATCAAAAGTGGTTTTTAAAACTAAAGAAACATTTCCAGATATACTAAAACACCTTTAATATAGTAATACAATAATTATTATTATAATGTTTTGATGCATATCACAAATTAGCACCGATTTGTTAATGTTGTTGTTAAGTGCTATCAAGTCAATTCCAACTCATAACAATCTGGTATAGGGTTCCCAAGGAGTGACTAGTGAGTTTCAACTGCCAACCTTCTAGTTCAAACTGACCTTGTGGTCCAGAGCTTATAGCACACCAAAATTTTAATATAATAGGCTATGCCCATCAACAGATTAATGGATCAACAAAATGTGGCATATATGTACAATGGCGTATTATTCAGCCATAGAGATAAATGAAGTTCTGAGACCTTCTTCAGTGTGAATGAACCTTAAAACAGGCTGAGTTCATCTCATGGTTTAAGTCAGCCACAAAAGGGTAAATTGTATATGACTCCATTTATATGGGAATCCTGCTGGGTCCCTAGAGCCTAGAACGGTGTTTGGCACATGTGGGTGCTGGGTGGATGGATTTAAAACAAATAAACAGGACAATTCTCTAGCCAAATTGGGCTGCCAGGTCCCAAATGACTGTATGCTCTAAACGCAAATACTCTCATTCTCAGAACTGAACATTCTGGGGTGATCCAGACTAGAAAAAGATCTGTGCCCCAGACTAGGGGGGAAATCTCCTTGACAACCTAACTCTCCCAAACCCTGGCCTTGAACAGGGTCGTCGTTCTGGGGACCCCTCAATATGAACATGTTTGCAAACTGATGGAGCAATTTTTAACAGAAGAGAATTTTCTCTCTAAGCTTCAGCATGGCCAACACCCTGGGCTCAGTCTCCCAGCCTCTAAAACTGGGAGCCGATACATTTCTGTTCCTAAAGCCATCAACTTCCTGGCATTTTGTTACCGCAGCCCTAGATAACTATAGTTTTGACCTGGCAGAGCTCCTGAGACCATCTCCGGAGACCAGTTTTAGGCCACGCTTTGATAAACTGAGGTCCTGTAAGGTGCATCCAGAGTCACACAGACTCTGTCCCTTTCCCAAGGCTCCCAGTGGCGGGCTTGAGAGTCAGCAGCCAGGAGCCAGTGCCCTGAGCTTGAACCTCGTCCCTTCAGACCCTGGCAAGTCTCTCTGGAGATTAAGTGAGGAAGTATTAGAGGATTTCAAAGAGTTCATGGGAAAATTCCATTTTTCCATGGACTTTTTTGAAAGCCTCTCATGTTATTGGCTGAGCGACCACTGCCAGGCTATATAACTGCTTGGGGCCACAGCTTCCCTAGCTGTAAAATGGGTTCATTAATAGTGCCCAACTTAGAACATGGTTTTGGAGTAAATGAATGATTCCTACGTGTTAGCTGTGATCAACATGACTAAATATAAGAGTGTTTGTGAGAGTGTACACAGGCGTAGGAGAGGTATGTGCCTCAGTTTCCCCATTTGTTCAACCAAAAGCAGTTCTATGCTCTCTTGGAGCCCCTCTCTGCCTGCTGCTTGTGATAGACCTGTTCTCCATTTTCAATACCTGCATTGGAGACAATTGAGTGCCTAAAGATGCCCCCGTCTTGCACGCCAGACCTGGGGGTTCTGGGAGGAGTTTGGAGGCTCTCTCCGATTCAGATGCCTGGTTCCCATCCTCTGTGCACAATCCTTGGGCTCTAATTTAAGTTCTAATGGTAAGCTCAGATATTGGGGTTCCCGTTCGAAACTGGGGGGCAGACACTAGGGTCCTCAGACACTTGGCTCCTGATCACTGGGTGGGGGGGGCGTCGTATGCCAAATCTTGGCCTTTCAGAAGAGAGGACATTGACGTCTGGGTTCCCACTTCACAGGGGGCTATAGTGTGGGGTGCGCTCCTTGTTCCGAGGTGCTGGGATACCTGGTGGTGTTCCCTGGAATGGGGAAAGCCTCTGACTCAGTTTCTCAGTCTAGGGATGAGATTCTGGAACCTGCTGTTTCCGGGGCATGAGGGGGACTAATACTGCCGCAGCCCGGACGCCCCCAGCAAGACAGGATGAAGGGGGCGGGGCCTCGGTGGGCGGGACTCCGTCAGGCCTCGCCCCTCGCCGCCAGCGCTGTCCTCACGTCTCCAAGTCGCCGAGGCCGCGGTGGGCGCCCAGTCGCGCGCCCCGCCACCCGGCCCGCCCGGGTCTATGGAACGGCCCCTCGGCGCCGCTTGGCCGGCCCTACGCCGCGCCCGGAGCCTGCCCCGCGACCGGGTAATGGGGTTGGGGGTCCTACGGGGAGGGGACGCCTGGAGGCTATCCGGAAGAGAAGGGGGACTCCTGGGTCCTGTAGCTGGGGGGACACGGATGCCTGGGTCCTGGAGAAATGGGAGACTAGATACGTGGACGTCTGGATTCTGGGCTCAGGGCTCAGGGCACCTGGTCGGAGAGGTCTGGCCGGGGGCGGGGGGAACGCGGGGAGGTGGGGGCAGAAGAAATAGACCAGGGCTGGGGCTGCCCTGCACGCCTGGTCCTGGAGGAATTAAGACCTAAGTGAACACGTTCTGGGGTCTAGAGGAGCTAGAAACCAGGACCCCTAGTCCTTCCTGGCGGCGTCTGGGAGCTCCGCTTTGCCCCCGCTCGCCTGCCCCGGGGAAGAAGTTGCGTTCCGGGAGAATTGGTGGCCCCAACCCGCCGAAGCTTTCCTAGGAACTGGGGGGGGGGGGCGCGATGTCCCTGGGTAAGACTCAGGGTGAGGTCTCTGCCCTCGCCCAACCCCCTCCTGAGCCCAGCCTGGGGACGAGGCGAACCCAAATATGGGGACCCCGGCTCCTAGAGTGGGTTTGAGGGACGGGTCCCTAGAGCAGGGGGGTCTAGGAGACTGGGTCCCGAAGCGCCTGGGCCCCGCGAGCGCCCGCCCCCGCCCGTCTTGGGCATGCTGGGCACGCAGCGCGCGGGCCGGTCCGATCCGTATGCGCGCCGCGTGCGCCCATTGGTATGCGGGAGCCGGCCCGGCGCGAGCGTGAGGCGGGCGCGCTGGCGGGCGGCGCGGGGGAGGCGGCGGCGGAGCACGTCCTCGCCCGGGGGCCGCCCGAATGGCAGCTGGAGACTTCGTCCCGCGCCTCCAGAGAGGAGAAACTGAGGCACCATCCAACCTCCACACCTGGCTGGGACCCTAAGCCCTGCGCAGACCTCAGTTTCCCTGGAAGGTTAGGGTCTCCTTTCCGGGTTTTCCACCGGCGCTGAGAGCTGCTCTGGGCTCCTTCTGGCTGTAGGGAAAGAGGAGTTCGAGTCCCACAGGCTGTTCCGAGTCCGCCTGAGCGAGCCCCCTCGGAGATGGCAGCGCCCTATCCCAGCAGTGCGGGTGGCGGAGAGGTCAAATGCGGGGCAGGTGGTGGTGGCGTTCCCTGGGACTTTCTGCCTGGGCTCATGGTCAAGGCCCAGCCAGGACCTTGGTAAGCAAAGCCCCGGCCCTCGGACCGTGGTCCCACACCCGGAGAAAGCCCGGTTTTACCGCCCTGGGGGAGTTCACACCAACCTTTCTGTCCCGATCCCAGGGAGAGTTCACGTTTAGACTTCGGCCCCGCACGCATGGGGGGAGTTCACACTGAGCTATCTGCCCCCCTCCCAGAGAGCGTCCCCACTTAGATTTCTGCCCCACCCCATAGGGTACTTCCTACCCAGCTTTCTGCTTTTCACTTCGAGGTAGTGTTCACATTTAGACTTCTTCCCCACCCTCATGGGGGGAGTTCACACCTAGCTTTCTAGCCCGGCCTCTTGAGGCCAGAATTTCTTACTCTGCGTGACCCAACAGCATTGGACATCCCTCCAGCGTCTCTTCCTAGTCCCCAACCAAAGAATTTACACTCGTTCTAAATCTCTTCCATTTAGCTCCTCCCTAATGTAGAGCCAAGGTTCTGCCCCACCTCTAGGGTGTAGTCTTCACTCCGGGTCCCTTCCCGAGGCGCCACCCCCCCCCACCCCCAAGGCTGTCTGGTTCTATTGCCCTGCGCCTCTGCGCTCCCAGGGCTCCGCTGACACATCCTCCGCGCTGCCGGTCCAGCCTGCAGGCGCAGCGCAAAGAGAAGTCCCGCAACGCGGCGCGCTCACGGCGCGGGAAGGAAAACCTTGAGTTTTTCGAGCTGGCCAAGCTGCTCCCGCTGCCCGGCGCCATCTCGAGTCAGCTGGATAAGGCATCCATCGTGCGCCTCAGCGTCACCTACCTCCGTCTGCGCCGTTTCGCCGCGCTCGGGGCGCCACCTTGGGGGCTGCGGGTCACAGGACCGCCAGCTGGTTTAGGTAAGTGTGCATACATGGGAGCGCGGGTGGGGGGGGGGCGCGCGAGGGGCGGGCACCAGTCCCCACCATGGCGGGCAAAGGATCTGAGGTTGGTCTGGCCTCTCCCACTTCAGCAACTCAGAGGGAGCCCGGGTTTGGTAGTTCACCAGATCTTTTGTGTGTACCTATTAGGTGATGTCTTAGCTCCAAACCTCAGTTTATCCATCTCTAAAATGAGCACAAGAAAAGGAGGATTTCATGAGTTCTGGCCTAAGTTAGGGCCTGTCAACACCAGGGATCAAACCACTATTAAATGCAATTATTTTTTTTATTAGAGAAGCTCTAACAGTGTAGTGGGTTAAGCATTGAGCTGCTAACCACAAGTTCAGCAGTTCAAATCCACCAGACGCTCCGTGGGAGAGAAATAAGGCTTTGTGCTCCAATAAAGATTTACAGTCTCAGAAACCCTGTATAGGGTCGCTATGAGTCAGAACCACTCCATGGCACATAGCCACCACCGCCAGAAGAGATGATGCATTCTATAACAAAGGAAACCTCCCAGCTTCATCTACAGGACGGAGGTGACCCAGCCTGGGTCTGATGCCCACTGATGGGGTAGAGACCCCACCTGTAGGCCTGACAGACCCCAGAGGGGATTCAAGGACTCTGGAGTCTGCATTCCCAGTTTAGGGGGAGGGAAACAGTCTAATTAGGCAGGCAAGATGTGGCGCTTTGGCAAGCCACATGCCCACCATTGTGACTCTGGACAGGTTGAGTGACCTCTCTGTGCCTCTTTTGTAAAATGGGTAACGTTCAAATCTCTCCCAGAGGGCTGATAAGAGGATTGGTGGTGTGCTGACTCATAGAGGCTGTAAATCTTTACAGGAGCAGAAAGCCTCATGTTTCTCCAGAGGAACAGCTGGTAGTTTTGAACTGCTGACCTTGAGGTTAGCAGCCAACTCATAACCACTACGCTGCCAGAGCCTCTTGATGAGAGAGGATTAGCCAGGTAATATATTAAAGCTGGAGCCCTGGTGTGGCTCTATGCGCTAATGCACTGGACTGCAAAGGCACTTTGAACCACCAGCAGTTCAGACTCACCAGTCACTCCTTGGAACCCCTATCCAAGGTGCTATGAGTCAGAACCACTGAAGCCCTGGTGGTGTAAGAGTTAAGCGCTCGGCTGCTTTAACCCACTAGTTGCCAGTACGTACGTCCTGAGAAAGAAACTGTCAGCTTCCATAAAGATCATTGTTTCTGAGGCTGTAAATCTTTACGGGAGCAGAAAGCCTCATCTTTCTCTCGCAGAACAAGCTGGTAGTTTCGAACTGCTGACCTTGCAGTTCACAGCCTGATTCGTAACCACTATGCTACCAGAGCTCCTGTCCATAAAGATTACAGACTTGGAAACCTTATAGGGTCTTTCTCTGTCCTAAAGGGTTGCTATGAGTCACCAAAGGGTTGTGCTTAGTTTTTGTGCAAAGCAATCAACACATGGAAACTGTTGTTATCCGGTAGAGTCAGTGAGTTGTGCAAATTGAGGGATCACTGCTGTGGGAACTGCAAGATCAGTTTGAACCACAAAATCAGTGGTTCAAGCTCACCAGCCACTCTTTGGAAACCCTATTCAGGATCACTATGAGTCAAAACTGACTCGATGGCACTTAACAACAGCCGAAAGGTGGTCAGATGGAACCCACCCAAAGGTGTGTCTGAAGAAAGGCCTACTGGTCTACTTCTGAAAAAGCATCCGTTGAAAACCCTACAGAGTAGAACTGTGATTCAGAGAGGTTTCGCTGGCTGATTTTCTGGACTTAGATCACCAGGCCTTTCTTCTGAGTGTCTCTGGGTAGCCGCCAACAGCCAACCTTTTGGTTAGCAGCTGAGCATGTTAATTAGGCATTTGCCTAACCAGAGACCTCATAGAATATGTAAAACACATAATTTGAGTATAATATAGATACCTAATTTTATTCTTATTATTCAGACTTTATTATAAAAAATACATAAGGAATGCTATGTTGCTCCTATTATTTCTTTTATACGTCTTTCTGCCTAATTTGAGGATAGTTAATCTGAGGCCACAGGTACAAGAAATAAGGGACTCCAGACTCCTACTGACTGCCCCCTCAAGGCAAAGGGGTGTCCTCAAAGTGGGGTTGGAAGGGCTCCAATTCCCCTCCTGCCCCAGCCCCAGGGGAGGAGGGGGGAGAGAAAATAGCATTGATTAAACTCGCAATAAATCACCATTTAAATTTAAATAATCCGGCTTCCCAGGCGGTAATTAGGCGAATTGACTGGCGCTGGGAGAATGCGGCATTAGCTCTGCTGATTACTGTGATTACCTCCAACAACATGTGCGCTGGCGGGGGGGTAAACATCTTGTCTATTGTCCCCAAGCTCCCAAGCTTCGGGGAGGGAAGGGGAGCACCAGGCTGGAGCGGGAGGAGCTCAGAGGGGTCTGTCTGCACCCCGCATCCCCATTGCCTGGATAGGCAATCTGAGGCTCAGAATCCAGCAGGGACTCCGTGAGTTCACAGCACTGGAGTGGATCATGGATTTCAGGGACCTCCCTGCCTGTACGTTAATACCAAGTGGGGGCAATGTTGGTACCCCGTGCCTGCTGCAGTAGAGATATGGCAGCCTCTCTGACCCCGCAGGGGTCCCCATGAAGAAATCAAATGCCTGCTTCCATCATTCAGATGAGAAAACTGAGGCACAGAGGGTACTTTGTCTTAACTGAACTCAGCAAAGCATGGTGTCTCCCATGCTCTGAATGGGGAGGGACATCTACTCACAATATAAACTTGCCCACTGCCAAGTCAGTTCCGACTCTAGTAACCCTACATTTGTTGTTGTTGTTGTTAAGTGCTGTCGAGTCGATTCCGACCCATAGCAACCCTGTATAGGGTTTTCCGAGGATCTTGCAGTTCCAACGGCTTTGCAGTCTGGCACATTAACCCACAGCGCCACACCAGTAACCTTGCATGCAGAAGTGGATTTGGGGTATGGCTGGTGCCACTAAGCATTTCTATTCTTCATCTAAATTTCCATCACCAGATGTGAGAGATCCTACAGCAAGTTACAACGCATTGCCATGCACGCTATTTGCCATAGATAGACCTCTGTCTGTAATACGACACAGTGGAACTGCCCCCATAGGGTTTCCACAAAAGCAGACTGCCACATCTGTCTGCCTTGGAGAGGCTGCTGGACTCGAAGTGCTGACCTTTCAAATAGTAGCGAGACACTTTAACCACTGTGTCACTAGGGTTCATTTTACCCACTCTGCAAAGGCACCCTGGTGGTGGCACTGTAGGATAAGCACTGGACTGCTAACTACAAGGTTGGTAGTTCAAAACTACCCGCTGTTTTCTGTATTAGATATGTACTTCTGAGTGCTGGGAACACAACAGAAAAAGGACAAAGTCCCTGCCCTCCGCCTCCCACCTCCCTAATCTTATCTTCTAGCACTCTGACCCCAGCTCACACACACTGTCCTCCTTTAGAGAGGGACGTCTACACCGCTGACCATTGAATGAGCTGTGCCCGCCACCAGGAAACACTTCCCTCAAAAAGTTGACTTTTCTGCAGTGTTCCCAGGGAGCCCCAGATTGAAGATGGCAGTCTCCCCCTTCTCCCCAGTGCCCTCTGTCCTCCCCACCCTACCCTAATCACCTGACATGCTAGGTTGTTGTTAGGTGCCCTCCTGTTGATTCGAACCCAGAGCAACTCTAGGTTACACAGTAGAACCTCCTGGTAGTATTTCCTAGGCTGCCATATTGACAGGAGGGGTCCTGGTGGTACCCTGATGGTGAAGTGCTCAGCTGCTTGACTGTTTAAACCACAAAATCACTGCCCTGGGAACCCTGTGGAACTGGCCCCGAAGTAGGGCTTTTCCTAAGGCTTTACGGAACGGATTGCCAGGTCTTTCACCCGCGGAGCCCTGCGGGGGTTTGAACCGTTGTATTATATCTTGTTCACTGCAGGTCCTACCCTACAGCACCCTGTTACTCACAGAACCTAGACTCTGCCAGAGGCACACTCAAGGGCTCAATGAATATTTGTCCAAGTGACTGGAATGTCAAACCCAAGGGAGGGAACCAGGGCCAACAACTTGGAGCCATGTCCTCTCTCAGGAGATGGCATTTAAGCTGAAATGTGAAGGAGGAGAAGGAAGTCAGGAAGCAGTCCTGGGAGAGAGAGCAGGAAGATTGAAGATTGTCCAGAAAGTGCCAAGGCCCTAGGGCTGGCATAATCAGCTCACTGGGGGGTAGGACACAGCTGTGAGGCCAGAGTGTCTGGAGGGGAGGGGAGTGAGAGAGCTGAGGCAGGAGCCACGGAGGACTCTGAGCAGAGACGGGACAGACCTACCTCAGATTTGAACAAGCTGGGTGAAGAGGAGGCTGAGGGTGAGTACAGGGAACCTATGTGGAGGTGACTCTAGGGGTCCAAGTGAGCCACAGAGCAGCTGGACTGGCTAGGGACCCTGAGGTGTGAGGTGGTCGGTTTCAGGTGACTCCATGTGGAAATCAGTGGACCAGCTCATTCACGATGGAAGTGTGTGGGTGGAGGCGGATTCCAGGGAACTCTCTGGAAGAATAAAGATGCTGCGCAGCAGTATTCATTGATTACTGCAAGACTCAGGAATTAGGCGCCTACTGTTTGCTCAGCTGTGCTAAGGAAGTACTTTATAAGCAGGGGTCCGCTGTGATCTCACTGGAGTGATTTTACAGGTGATGTGAGGGGAGTGCATAGTGCTTCAATCCAGGTTGACGCACAGGAAGTGAAAACCAGTTTGATGATGGAAGGGTCCTCTCCCTGACAACAAACCGGGGAAGAGTCCCAGACCCTCACCCCAACTACCTGGCTCTACTACAGGTTCCAAAAGTCCCTTCAGGACAACTGAGACCCAGAGAATCTCTCCTTGTCTCCCCTCCCTCTGCCTCTCATCCCCCGTCTCTCTGTCCCCCTCCTTCAGCTCCTTGTTCCCCTCCTGGTTTCCTCCCCCCCATCTCTGTCCCTCATCCTCCCCTCTTTCATTTCAACTGGGACAGTGTCCCCAGTGCGGCTCTGTCTTAGATGGGAGACTCAGCATATGTTTGTGGAGTGACAGAGGTGGGGGAGGGGGTGAATCTGGGAGGAGTGAAGATCCACCTGCTGAATTGGGAGGACTAGGGGCTGGGGCATTGGTGAATAGGGAGGAGTTGGGAAGATGACTCATTTGGGGACTATGGGAGACTGGGGTACTAAGACATCAGTCAATGATGGAGACAGATTCAGGGGGTCCCCAGCCCAGACTCAGGGCTGGGGAAACGTATACCCCTGAGCCCTCCCCACTGTGCCCCCCCCATCCTGGCGTGCCCATTAACGCTGTTAATTGCAGCGGCTCCGTCTGACCCAGGCTGATCCCCAGAGATAGAAAATGAAGGAATTAGCAAAAATGACAGGGGAAAATTGCAACAATTAGCAAGACGCATTGTTCCCGCCTGTCACCCGGCTGGTTCATGATGCATCTTGGGGGAGGGGTCCCTATCACCCCTCCCCCGTTATTGTTCCTGGAGCTCCCAGCATGGGTAGAGAACCAGTGAGGGAGCGCTCCTGGGAGAAGGAGGCGTGGCCACACGGGAGGGGCGGGAGGCAGAATTCTGATTGCAATGTGGATGAGGCAGGGGCGTGGTCCCACCGCCTGATTCGTTGGTTGAACAGTCGCTATCCTATTACTACCTGTCCCAGCTCTGTACCTGGGATCCCCATCCCCGCACCCCAGCCCCTCTCTGTGCCACTGGCTTTCTGCTAGTGAAGTTCCCGGAGGTTTCCCAGCAGCCTGAGAGGTTGGCACTCTTAGTAAACCCATTTGACAGATGAGGAAGTTGAGGCACAGTGAATGAAGGGACTGGTCTCAGGGCACACAGCCAGGGAGGGGCAGGGCAAGGCTTGATATCAGATACGGGGCCCTTTGCAGGAACCAGGTGCTTGGGGACCCTCAGGGTTACCCCATCTCCTCTCCTGCCTCTGCGCAGTGCTTAGATCTCCAGGGGACAGATCCATCCTTCTCTGCAAGGTCAGGGAAGGGTGTTCAGGACCTGAGAATCTCTACTGAGGCTGAACAAGGTGATGCCCCCAGCATGAAGTCTGGGGGCCACTGTGATGGGGCTGGGTCAAAGGAGGTGTGTCTGTCTCTGTTTCTCCATCCCCTTCTTTGTATCTGTCTCTTCTCTGTGAGTTAAGCTTTGGGCAGCGGTTTAAATCCACCAGCCACTCCCCAAAGATTTCGTCTTGGAAACCTTGTGGGGGCAATCCTACGCTATCCTATACAGTTGCTGTGATTTAGAATCAACTTGATGGCAGTGGATTTGTCTCTATTTCTCTTGTGACTGTATCTGTCTCCTGGTGCGGCATTGTAGGATAAACACTGGACCAAAAGTTGGCTTGAACCACAAGGTTGACAGTTCAAACTCACCAGTTGCTTTTCGGACACCCTCCACAGGGTCTCTATGAGTCAGAAATGACTCACAGCACTTAACAACAACAACAACAACATCATATCTGTCCCTGTAGTCCCTGGGTGGCAAAAATTGTTTACCTTGGACTGTTGTTAAGTGATCTTGAGTTGATTCCAACTCATAGCAGCCATATATAGGGTTTGAACCGCTGATCTTGTGGTTAGCAGTGTACAGGTGCCACACCAGGAAGCCTGGCACTGGACTACTAGCCTAAAAATTGACTATTTGAACCCACAGAAGAAAGTCCTGGCTGTTTGTTTCCATGAAAATCCTATGGAGCCATTCTGCTCTGTAACACAACACATGTAGTCACCAGGAGGTGGGGTTACCTCAACAGCAACAGGTTTAGATGTGTCTCCATTCCCCATGTCGTCTGTCTCTGTGTCCCTTTCCATCTGTTTGTATCTGTGTCTTTGTCTCTGTTTCTTCTGTCTCTTCACCCTTCAGATCTGAGCTCAGACGACCCCTCTTTCAACAGGTCTCACTCAGTCACTCCAAATGCATATCAGCATCCCTTATCTGTTTCTTCATAGTGTGGTCCACAATGATCATTCTATCATAACTATAATGTTGGTTTCTTATAGTTCCTTGTCCCCTGGCCTCGGAGCACCACGAGTGTAGGGCCTGGGTGGTCCTGTTCACCTCTGTGTCCCCAGTCCAGGGTCTGGCAACCAGAATGTACTCAGGGAATATTTGCTGGATAGATGGATGGATGGATGGAAATTAATGAATGAATCCCTTTCTACATTCTCTGATCTGTCTGTCCTTGTGTGCCTTGGCTTCTCTGTCTCCTTATCCCACTGTGCCTCTCCCACTCCTCCTCACACCCAGGCTCCCCCACTGGACTCAGAGACCCTAACCCAAACCCAAGCCCAGCCAGCTCACTGCCATCAGGTTGTTTCTTGCTCATGGCAACCCTACAGAACAGAATAGAATTACTGCCTCACAGGATTTCCGAAACTGTAATCTTTATGGAAACGGATTGCTTCATCTTTCTTCTGCAGAGCGACTGGTAGGTTTGAACCTTGAACCTAAGGGTTAGCAGCCCAACACTTAACCCACTGTACCATTAGGACTGCTTCTTGGAACCCCAGATCCCCATTATACCAAGGTGTCTACAGAGTTGGTGGGACGAAGGGGAGATTTGTAGGGTAGTTCCCTGCAGGCTTGCACAGAGCAGCAGGCCCTGGTCTCACCATCTCCCCTCTGCCCCAGCCCCAGCCCGCAGGACCTCCATGGCGCTAGTCTCCAACATCTTCGAACAACACCTGGGAGGACACATCTTGCAGGTAAGATGCCCTCCCTGCCTACTGCTCCTTGCTGTCACCTGGTGGCCTTAGCTGGAACTGCACCCTCTTTAGCCTCTATCCTGAAAGCCCCCACCAGAATAATCCATCCCAGTCTGAGATCCAGGTTTCAGAACCTCTCTTACTTGCCAGCTTGCCAGATGGACACCAGGCACTCCCTTGTTCCTCCTCTCTCTTCCCTCTCTAGTCCCTGGATGGCTTCGTCTTTGCCTTGAATCAAGAGGGAAAGTTTCTCTACATCTCAGAGACAGTCTCCATCTACCTGGGTCTCTCACAGGTAAGGGCACCCCAGAGGCCATTTCCATTGCTGGTCCAAAGCAGCTCTTGTCTCTTGGTCTCACTATCCCAGCTTGAAAAATAGATTGTACAAGGGAGCATGAAAAAGTTCATGGAAGAATTCCATTATCTTTTTATCCCATTTTTCCATGAGCTTTTTGAAGCCCCCTCATATTCCCTGGAATCCCACCTGGCACCCGACATTTTTCTTCAAAGGTTAGGAGGCCAATTTGAGGACAGCAAGTAGGCATAATGAGCCATTGGCTGGAGACCAGTTGGCCAAGTGCATCATATTTACCAGTTTGCCAAAAATAATCATTAAAAAAAAAAAAAACAATTGCAAAGGTTTACAGCAATTCCTTCAGGAAGTGTTTGGGTTCTGCCGACTTTGGAAGGTTTCTATGGTTTTTAGTTGCTTGACTTGCACTTGATCTTTACTTCAGGCTGCTGTTTCTGCCCTGTCTCTGCAGCTGGAGGCTGGCAGGTTAAAAGAGAGAAGGGAGAATCCAAAAGCCCCTACCTGTGGAGTCCTGGTTTCTTAGAATATCTTGTTGTTAGCTGCCCCCATACGGTACAACACCAGGCTTTTCTTCCTAGTCTCTCTTAGTCTGGAAGCTCTACTGAAACCTGGTCAGCCTCATAGCAACATGCAAACCTTCACTGACAGATGCTAAATGATGGTGGCTGCTCATAAGGTGCCCTGGCCAGAAATCGGATCCAAATCTTCTGCATGGCAGGCAAGAATTCTACCACAGAACCACAAATGTGACATCTTGGAGGTGTTGGGTGCCATCAAGTTGGTGTGAACTCATAGTAACGCTAGCAAGCCTATGCACAACAGAACGAGCCCCACCCCCCACCCCGTCCTGCGCCATCCTCACAATTGTTATATTTGAATCCATTGCTGTTCCCACTGTGTCATTCCAGCTTGTTGGGGGTCTTCCTCTTTTCCGCTGACTCTCCACTTTCCCTAGCACGATGTCCTTCTTCAGAGACTGGCCCCTCCTGATAATATGTCTAAAGTATGTGAGACGAAGTCTTGCAATCCTTGCCTCTAAGTAGCATGCTGGATGTACTTCTTACTAGACAGATTTGTTTTTTCTTCTGACAGTCCATGGCACTTAACAATACTCTTTGCCAACACCGTGATTCAAATGAATCGATTCTTCTACTGTCTTCCTTATTCATTGTGCAACTTTCTCATGCATACAAAGTGACTGAAAATACCTTGGATTAGGTCAGGCCCACCTGACATCTTTGCTCTTGAACACTTTAAAAAGGTCTTTTGTAGCAGATTTGCCTAATGCAATAAATCATTTGTTGTCCTGACTGCTGCTTCCATGAATGTTGATGGTGGATCTAAGCAAAATGAAGCCTTAGAAAACTTTAATCTTTTCTTCTTTTATCATGATGTTATTTATTGGTCCAGTGGTGAGGATTTTAGTTTTCTTTACATTGAGATGCAATTCATACCGAAGGCTGTGCTCTTTGATCTTCATCAGTAAGTATTTTAAGTCCTCTTCACTTTCAGCAAGCAAGGTTGTATCATCTGCATATCACAGGTTATTAATGAGTCTTCCTCCAATCCTGATGCCATGTTATTCTTCATATAATGCAGCTTCTCGGACTATCTGCTCCGCATGCAGACTGAATAAGTATAGTAAAAGGATACAACCCTGGCACACACCTTTCCTGTTTTTAAATCATTCAGTGTCCTCTTGTATGTTCAAATAATTGTTTCTTGACTAATGTACAGGTTCCTCATGGGTACAATTAGGAATTCTAGAATATCCATTCATCATTATGTCATCCATAGTTTCCTATGATCCACACAGTCAAATACCTTTGCATAGTAAATACAGTACAAGTAAGCATCTTTCTGGAATTCTCTGCTTTTGCCAAGAGTTATATGATATCAGCAGTGATATCTCTGGTTCCATATCACCTTCTGAATGTGCCTTGAATTTCTGGCAGCTCCTTGACAATGTACTGCTGCAACAGTTTTTAAATTATCTTCATCAAAATTTCACTTCCATATGATAAATATGGATCTCTTTCAATCTGTTGGCCATGTAACCGTCTAGCAAATTTCTTGGCATAGACGAGTGAGCGTCTGTAGCACTGCATCAGTTTGTTGAAAGATATAAATTTGTGTTCCGTCAGTTCCTGGAGCTTTGTTTTTCGCCCATGCCTTCAGTGCACCTTGGACTTCTTCCTGACTACCGTCAGTTCTTGATCATGTGCTACCTCTTGAAATAGTTGAGCAGTGACCAATTATTGGTACAGTGACTCTATATTCCTTCCATCTTCTTTTGAAGCTTCCTACATCATTCAATATTTTACCCATAGAATCCTTTGGTATGGCAATTCAAGGCTTGATTTTTTTTTTTGAATCCAGTTCTTTCAGCTTGAGATATGCTGAGTGTGTTCTTCCCATTTGGTTTTCTAGCTCCAGGTCTTTGCATATTTCATTAAAGTACTTTGTTTTCTCCAGCTGCCCTGAGAAATTTTCTGTTCAGCTCTTTTAGCTTGTCATTTCTTCTGGTTGTTTTTGCTTCTTTATGCTCAAGAGCAAGTTTCAGAGTCTCTTCTAACATCCATTTTTGTCTGTTTTTTCTTTCCTGTCTTTTTAATGACCTTTTGCTTTCTTCATGGATGACGTTCTTAATGTTACCTGACAACTCTTCTGGTCTTTGGTGGTCATTAGTGTCTAATGCATCAAATCTGTTCTTGAGATGGTTTCTAAATTTAGATTGGATATATTCAAGGTCATATTTTGATTCTCTTGGACTTGTTTTAATTTTCTCCAGCTTCAGTCTGAACTTACTTATGAGCCATTGATGGTCTGTCCCAGGTGGCCCCTGGCCTTGTTTTGGCTGATATTCGGTTTCTCCATAGTCTCTTTCCAAAGACGTAGTCAGTTTGATTCCTGTGTACTCCATCTGGTGAGATTTAGTGTCACCTTTTATATTCCTAAAGAAAGGTATTTGTAATGAATAAGCCGTTAGTCTTGCAAAATTCTGTCATACAATCTCCAGCATCATTTCTATCACCAAGGCCTTATATTTCAACTACTAATCCTTCCTCTTTGTTTCCAACTTTTGCATTCCAATCACTATTAACAATGTATCTTGATTGTATATTTGGTCAGTTTCAGACTGAAGAAGTTGGTAGAATTCTTCAGTCTCATCATCACTAGCTTTGGTGTGTACATTTGAATAATAGTGGTATTAATTGGTCTTCATTGTAGGCGTATGGTTATTATCCTATCACAGACAGCATTGTATTTGAAGATAGATCCTGAAATGCTGTTTTTTGACAATGAATACACCACCATTCCTCTTCAATTTGACATTCCCAGCATAGTAAATCATGATAGTCTGATTCAAAATGGCCTGCCTCAGCCCATTTCAACTCACTAGTGTCTAGGATATCGATCTTTATGATTTCCATTTCATTTTTGACGACTTCCAATTTTCCTAGATTCCTGCTTCGTACATTCCACGTTCCGATTATTAATGTCTATTTGCAGCTGTTTCTTCTTTGAATTGTGCCAGTTCAGCAAATGAAGATCCTGGATATTTAGCTGCATTCACATCATTAAGATGAATTCTACTTTCAAGAGGCGGCTCTCTGCAGTTGTAATTCGAGTGTCTCAGGGTCTCATGTCCCACTGTTATTGATAAGATTTATCACTGCACTGCTACCCATAAGGTTGGAGGTTCAAACTCACCAGCCGCTCCTTGGAACTCCAGCTCAGGGTTGAGTCGGAAAGTGAGTTGACGACACACACCACCACTTGGAACTGGTCCACCTCCCGGAGTCTGGAAGCTCCACTGAAACTTGTCCACCCTGGGTCATCTGGCTGGTATGAAAATACTGCTGGCATAGCTTCCAGCATGCCATCAACACACAAGCCACCACAGTACGACAACTGACAGACCAATGGTGGCTGTGACATATTAGGCCTTGCTAATCTAGTCAGTGGGTGTCCTGGTGTGGCGCTGTGGGCTAATGCGTCAGACTGCAAAGTTGTTTGAACTGCAAGGTTGGTGGTTCAAGCTCCTTGGAAACCCTGTACAGGGTCACCATGGGTCGGAATCGACCTGAGGGCACTTAACAACAACAATCTATTCAGTACAAATTGCTATATAGTCTTAGAGTTTTTACAATGACTTGGCAAGTGGTAAATTTGGGAAACTGAGCGAAGTGGACATTTGGCCTCTTGGGACAGTTTTGCAAAGCATTATTAAGGTTTCCTGGGAGGAAGACTTGTTGTTGTTGTTGTTAAGTGCCGTCGAGTCGGGTTTCCGAGGGTGTAAGGGAGTAGAAAGCCTCATCTTTCTCCCGCAGAGCAGCTGGTAGTTTTGAACCGCTGACCTTAAGGTTTGCAGCCAGATTCGTAACCACTACGCTACCAGAGCTTAAGGAAAGGAAATTTGGAAAAGAGGAAGTAGTGAAGACTGAAAGGCTGGGGAGGGGACAATAGGAGCAATGGGAGGTGTCTGAGAAGAAGTAAACAGAGGAGTACTTAAGTGGGGAGGAGAGCCTGAAACCTTGGGTAGGAACACAACAGGTAACATGGGTGCCTGGACTGGGGTGCAGAGTGGAGAGAGGGTGGCTGCCACGAGGAGGTTTGGGAGGTAGAAATAAACCTAAGAGTTGTCTGATTTAATGGGTTTCAGTTGGAAACCATTCCACTCCTTGCATTCTGAGTTTCATTCCACCTGCAACACCTGGTGGCTCACGTCGGGGCGCAGCTGTTTGATTTGTGGGGAAAATGGAGGCCAAGACAACCCCCTCCAACCATGCAATACATATATATCCATTTCGCTGCTTTTCTTTTCATACAGGAGACATGGAAAAATCCTGGTGTGGCACCGCTCCTTAGAAACCCTATACAGGGTGGCTATGAGTCGGAACCGACTCCACAGCATTTAACAACAACAGGCACGGAAGAAGTAGGGAGGGCACGGGAAGCGCCAAAGTTTTTATTCTCCCTAAAAAAAAATGCAAGCTAGACAAAGGTGGCCTGCGTGCAGGAGTGAGAGCCTCAGGACAGCGGGCGGGCGAGTGACTGCGCACGCACCTCACCCTTGCATTTTCCTCCGTCGCCGGCAGGTGGAGCTGACGGGCAGCAGCGTCTTTGACTACATCCATCCCGGGGATCACTCCGAGGTGCTGGAGCAACTAGGGCTGCGGGCGCGGACTCCCGGGCCCCCCACACCTTCCTCCATTTCCTCTTCTTCATCCTCCTCTTCCTCATCGCTGGCGGAGACCCCTGAGATCGGTAATTCCAAGGGCCCTCAAAGAATGAAGCCTGAGGGCAGGTCGGGAAGCTGTATGTTCTATCCAACTATGTCCACTTCAGCAAAAAAAACGTGTGCGGCCTTGATGGTGCAACAGTTACGTGCTCGGCTTTTAACCAAAAAGCTAACAGTGTGAATGCACTCAGCAGCAACATGAGCGAAACACCTGGTGATCTGCTGTCTTAAAGAGTGTTGTTAAGTGCCCTCGCTGTGGGTTCTGACTCACAGCAACCGGGGTATAGGGTTCCCAAAGCTTCATCTTTCTCCCATGGAGCAGCTGGTGGGCTTGAACCACCAATCTGGTTGTTTATACAGCCTGAAAACTCTGGGGCAGTTCTACTGTGTCATACGGGGTCACTATGTCTCAAGCCTAAGAGTGAATTGATGGAACTCAGAGAACCAATCTGAGCACTGAATTCACAGGTGAAATCAACTTGACCTCTCCTACTGCCCACAATGAAGAAGAGCTGGGCTTTCTCCCAAAGGCCCTAGGGAGGGAGGGAGTCATAGCAGACTCTGAGCAGAGCAAGGGCCAGGGAAATGGGAACTTTAGAAAGGTCCCTCTGCAGTCAGAGCAGAAGGGAAGTTAGTGTGTGAGGTCAGTGAGCTGGTAGACCACCTCAGTGGGTCTCGGAGGAGTGGCTTGGCCGAGTCTCCAGGTCTGGCTGGCTTTGGGCTGGGGGCCTACGTTTCACCCCACAACCTTCTTTCCTTCTAGTCCCAGAGGCCAGGCCAGCCCAGGTGCCCCCATCTTCCCGGGTTCAGGAGCGCTCTTTCTTCATCCGCATGAAATCTACCCTCACCAAGCGGGGGCTGCACGTCAAGGCCTCAGGGTACAAGGTAGCCTCCCTTCTCTGGTCCTAGACTCGGACTCCCACTTCCCCTAGTGGACCAGGGTTCCTGCCCTGTGTTGATGGTGACTGGTGGAACCAGGCTGGTGGCTGTGGTTCCTAGGAGTCTCTAATCCTGGGGAAGCCCCCCAGCTATGCTCCATGCCAGAGGGTGATGGATGGAATTTAGGGAACCAGGGTCTGGGGGCCTGGGGTGTGATCCCTCAACTCTCCTCCCTTAGACTCCCTCCAATTATACCTACCACCGGCAGGTCATCCATGTGACTGGACGCCTGCGGGCCCGGGCACTGGGTCTGGTGGCGTTGGGCCACACACTGCCCCCGGCCCCTCTGGCGGAGCTGCCACTTCATGGTCATATGATCGTCTTCCGCCTCAACCTGGGTCTCACCATCCTTGCTTGTGAGAGCAGGTACCCGGGTCAGGGGCGGAGGTGGGCACAGAGGAGGGTGGGGTATGTGAACGCTGGGGAGCCATAGAGGGTGGAAGAGAAGGAGGTCAGGCGGGGCCTGCACTGAATACCTCCAAATGCTCATTGGTACCTGAGCAAGGGACACTGTTGTTACACCCATTTTATAGAGGGGGAAACTGAGGCTTAGAACACCCTACCACCTCACAGCCAGGGCTGGAGCTCAGGGTGACTCGGGAGCCCCCTTCACCCCATGCTGTGGACCTCTTCTCTCCTCTTCTGTCACCTCTTGTCCTCAGAGTCAGCGATCACATGGACCTGGGACCATCAGAACTAGTGGGCCGCAGCTGCTACCAGTTCATCCACGGCCAAGACGCGGCCAGAATCCGCCAAAGCCATTTGGATCGTGAGAACGTCCCCCCTCCCCAGCTTGCCCTCTCCAGACCTGAGCACCCCCAATGCCTTAGTTTCTGGAAATCTTTCTTCGGGATTGGCCACTGTACCTCCAGCCCAACTCAGCACAGGCAGGGCAGCGAGGCTGAGCAGTGGTTGAGGATGTGGCTGGGAGCTGGGGGCTGTGGCGCTCTGACCCACCTTTAAAGATCCAGGGGGCCTCCATGCTACTGTTCCTCAGTCTAACAGAACTTTTACTTTTCTCTCTGATCCTTCCGTTTCCGGTCTCCTGTCTCCCCTTCTTCACCTGTCAACCTCTCTTGGCTGGTTTTTCCCACCTTTCTGCTTGCTTCTTTGTCTCCCTCAACCTGTCTTCCTATTCACCACATCTATCACCTGTTGTCCATCCCACCCCTACCCCATTCCTCCTTGCCTCTGGGCTGGACCCAGTGCTGGACAAGGGTCAGGTGATGACGGGTTACTACCGTTGGCTGCAGCGCACTGGGGGCTTTGTATGGCTCCAATCTGTGGCCACTGTGGCTGTGAACGGCAAGAACCCGGGGGAGCGTCATGTGCTCTGGGTCAGCCACGTGCTTAGGTGAGGGCCACGCCCACCTCTCCCCTGGGCTCTGGGTCAGCCCCATGCATACCAGAAGGATACACCTGAGGGGGAGGGATGTGAAAACAAGAAGTGAGTTGGGGTACCGTGGAGACTAGAATAAGGTTGAGAGGACACCCAGGGGACAATATTGACAAGGAAGCAGGTACACGTCCAGAGTGGGCCCAGACCCTGGTGGAGGGTTGAACTTCAGTGGGAACACTGAAGGGACAAGAAAGAGTCTTCAGTGACTCAGGGAGGGGGCACCTAGCTAGTGTGTCTTCACCTTCTAGTGAAAGAGGGGCTCAACAGCCCCGGTTGGGGGAGAGGAAGTGTATATCCTCCAGTGGAGGTGGAAGTGAAGGGGCCTCTGTGCTTACTCCTGGGAGATGGATGAATGGGAGGGGGTATACTCTCCCCAGAGGCTGAGCACCTTGATGTTCCCATGTCTCGTCTCCAGCCAAGCCGAGGGCAGTCAGACACCTCTGGATGCCTTCCAGCTTCCGGCCAGTGTGGTCTGTGAGGACCCATCCAGCCCTGAGCCAGAGCCCACAGGTAAGTCCCTCCTTGGTCCTGAGGAAGCTCTGAGGGCTCTTTCAGAGCCATCTTCATCCCAGTATCCACCAGCAACTGCTGAGTGTTCACATGGAAATGAACTGAAACTAAAAGTCCAGTTCCTGGGTCATACTCGCCATGTTTCAGAGGCTCAGTAGACCCACGTGGCTGAACAGTATAGGACTGAGCTGCTTAATCCCAGGTCTACTAGCATTTAGGGTCAGATGGTTCTTTCTAGTTAAGGCCATCCACCCACCCGATACCCACAGCACCCCAACTCCTGACTCTAGAACCAAGTGTCCCCAAAACAAATTCACTGCCACTAAGTGGCTTCGGACTCATCACAACCCGGGGCAGAGGAGAACTGCCCCATAGGGTTTCTGTATGGGAACCAACTGCCACATTGTTCTCCCTTGGAGTGGTTGATGGGTTTGAACTGACAACTTTTCAGTTAGGACTTGTACCACCAAGGCTCCTTGTTTTTGGCAGAGTGAATCGCCCACAGGATTCCCAAGGTGGTGGTTTTCATGAGAGCAGCGTCAGGTCATTTCTCTTGTGGAGCCACTGGGAGGCTCAGACCACTGGCCTTTCGTTTAGTAACCAAGCGCTTTACCCATTGCTGCACCACGACTCCTTTGAATATCTTTCAAAAATAGCCGAACCAAACCTGGTGGTGTGGAGCCCATTCTACTCCTAGCGACTCTAAAGGACATAGAACTGTCCCAAACGGTTTCCTAGGCTGTCATCTTTATGGAAACATCTGATCTTTCTCCCTCAGGTGGGGTAGTTTCGAATTGCTGAACATTTCACTACACAACAGTCCCCCAGCTAAAATCCACAGGTGGAGACCTCTGAGCCTGGCCCCATTCCACAGGTGGGAAGACTGAGGGCTGGGAGCTCACACACACCCAGGGCTCTCCACAATCTTCCTCTTCCAGAGTCAGATGCTCCAGTGGACGGGAAGCAGATTATACTCCAGGACAAAGAAGAGCCCCCAAAGACCCGGGGCAAACGCATAAAAGTGGAGCCTGGCCGAGGAGAGCCCAGAGACTCCGAGGACAGTGGGGATGAGGCCTCATCCAGCCACCCAGCCCCACCTCAGCCCGAGTTCACATCTGTCATCCGGGCGGGCGCCCTGAAGCCAGACGTGGTCCGGCCATGGGGCCTGGCACTTCCAGGGGAGTCCCCGACAGCTGTGTTCCACGCAGGCTTCCTGCCCCCAACCATGCGGGGTCTGTGCACACCGGGCACTATCCGCTACGGCCCTGCAGAGCTGGGGCTCATGTACCCTCATCTGCAGAGGCTGGGTCCGGGTCCAGCCCGTCCCGAGGCCTTCTACCCGGCCCTGGGCCTGCCCTACCCCTCACCCATGGGCACCAGGGGGCAGCAGAAGGGGGACTGAGGGCACATTCCACAGGGCCAGACTGGGGGATAGGGCAGGGCACAGAGAATGCTCTGGACCCTGGAGAATTAAACGCTGGCTCCTCCTCCACCCGGGGCTTAGTCCCAAGGGTCTGTGAACATCTCTCCTTTTCTTCTCGGTTCTCCCCATTGTTTTCCCTTGCTGGGCCACCCTCTCCACAGAACAATGCTTCACCACTCAGCTCTAGCAGGAGGGTCAGGTTTTAATGTCCAGGTTTGAAGGCCCCAAGCTGTCCAGCACCCAGGGCCAGCAGCAGCAGTCACTCAGGCGGTGGCCGGCCCGCCTCATCAGGGCCTTCGGTGGTGGCGGTCCCGTCGTCCTCTGGTACCAGTTCCACGTCCAGCTCAAGCTGGCCCATGTAGAGGCCAACAGCGCAGGCCCACAGTAGGCTGGCTACCAGCACAGCACCCGCCCCCACGGCAGCGCCCCCCAGTGAGAGCTGCATGGGTCCCCGAAGGGCAGCCAAACCCACAGCGTAGGAGGCACCGCCCCACACCACGCACAGGCCGCCCAACAAGAAAAAACCTGCAAGAGGATGGAGGAAGGCTCGATCAGGCCACATGAGGGCCTGGTCCCAGGCTGTGGAGGGCAGGGAATTGGGGGAATCAGAGAGTGGGGCTGAGGCTGCTGCCTGTAAAATGTCTTTAAGAGGTCACAGGTGGGATTGGGCTGTGCTGGGGCTGGGGAAGGGGATGAAACAAACTCAAGATCAAGGTTGGAAGCACGACTCATTGAGATCCAGAATCAGGGGCATGAGAGGCTATCAGAGAAGGCTTCTAGAACTTGCTAAAACCACAGGGCTAAGGAACCACAGGTCCAGACCGCTGAGGCCTGGCATATTCCACAGATGGGGAGACTGAGGGTGGGGGGTGCACCCACACAGACACGCATGAATACACGTTCTCTCTCTGTGGAATCTTCCACAAGTCCAGGAACAAGGGAGGGGATGGGGCAATGTGAGAACAGAGGGGCTATGGGGGCAAGCTGGGGGGTTCAGTATGGGGTACTGGGACAAGGACCCTCACTTTTCCTGGGGAATTAACACACTGGAGCATGGTGGGGGCATAGTCACTCCTCCCTGGGCTATCCCTAGGTTCTCAGATGCGCCCTGAATGTTGGGGGGTGAGAGCAGACATTAGCACTCACCATAGGCAGCTTCCCGGCCCATGTCACTCTGCATGAAGGAGATGACTCCAATGCCTGAGGCCAGGAGGCCATTACGGAACCAGGAGAGGAAGGCTGGGGGGAGGAGGGGAAGATGAGGGGCTTTGGCAATGACTCAAACCCTGCCTTAGAGCTCTCCCCTCACTCTCAGGGCCAAACCAAGGGGCCTCTCACTCATCCCACCTACTCCCCATCCTCACACATCCCAGAAACCCCCCCACCTAACTCCACCCCCAAATCCTCTTCGCCCCCCATCTTTGAGCCCTTGACTCCCCCAAACCCTGAAACACAAATTGGATAACTATGAGGGCAGTATAGGTACAAATTGAGGACAGGAAGATTCCAAGGGATCATTTTGGTCATTTCCCTCCTCACATGTGGACCCTCACGGCCGCCTCCCCCCCCCCCCAACTTTTCTCTATGGCCTCTGGGATAAAGCGTCCATTTACTGCGCTCTCCAGCTTCCTTCTTTGGTGGTGGTGGTGTGCCATGGATTCTGTTCCGACTCTTAGAGACCCTGCATAGGGTTTCCGAGGCTGTAAATCTTTACCGGAACAGAAAACGTCATCTTTCTCTCGCTGAACAGCTGGTAGTTTCGAGCTGCTGACCTTGAGGTTAGCAGTCCGACTCGACTTGTAACCACCTCGCTACAGAGCTCAAATGCCACCATCTCCTACCATCTACAGGTGTGGCATTAATAGGCTAGTTTAATGACTACCACCGGCCCGCCAAACCTGCCCCAACACTGTTGGATGCCTCGTTGCCTGAACCAGGACTCCTTCCGCGAGGCCCGGCCCTTCCGTCCAATCAGCAGCGGGCAGCGTCTCTCCTATTGGGTGTTGGGGAATTCACTCCCCCAATCAGAAACTTCACTCTTCTAAAGTGGGCTCAGCACTCCCGCCTCTGCAGAAGGATCGTCCCAACGCTGTAGGCGACTCCCCTAGGCCTTGCTTGCGCGCGGCACGCGCGCGTCCCCGAGCTTTCACGGAAGTCGTTCTTCCCCCGGATTCCCTACCTTCTTTCAGCAAGCTCCCCACGACGCCCCCCACTCAGACACTCGGACCTCCTTGCCATCCGAACCTATCCTAGCCCCTGTTCCAAACCTGTCTCATGCGCCTTCCGGAGAAGCCAGGCGTCCGCACGGTCCAGCTCAGACATGGGGGGCGGCGAAGCCCCGGCGCGGGGACCGTGGCCGGGGGCGAAGGACCCCCGGGAGCCCCCGCTCCGGGGCCGTGGTGGCGGCAGCAGCGCCCCCCGGAAGCGGAGTCGGGCAAGGCGGGCAGCCCGAACCCACCACCAGCCGCCTCCCATAGTTCGCACTACGGCTGCAGCGCGTCGCCCCGCCCCACGATCCTCTTGTAGGTTGCAGTCCGCGTCACTCAAGTTTAGCCGTTCGACTATTGGATTTGAGTTTGCCACTCAGACGCGGTGCATACTGTCCATTGGTCGGAATGGCAGCGGCTCCCTCCTCTGTCATGCTGGCAGTGTGCGTCCTGGCTTACCTCTGTCGTCGTACTACGAATCCCAGCGCTCATTGCGGCCGAGGAAGTTCGGTCTTCTTGAGCTTGTGGCACGAAGTCTCTTGAGACTTTTAGTTTTGGTTTAATAACTTTTAATCCAAAAACGTACAAGTTTGCAAAATCTTGGAGAATCCAGAAGAGAAAAGTAAAATCAGACATTACACCAAAACGCGACGACCGCTTATTTTGCTGTATTCCTGTCGTTTTTTATCTATAGATATAAAATGATACCTCCTTTGATGATTTCCCTCCCCCCGCCCTTATAACAGCGTATCGTGAACATTACCCTTTAGTACTGAATATTTTTACACAGCATTTTTATTTAAAATTTCTTGTCTTTTAAATACTTATTTTGAACATAGTACAACATGCAAATGTTACAAAAGAATCTCATGAAAAATATTTCTCCCAAAACGTGGAACAAAACTTTTTTAAAAAAGACCAGGTTGACTGGTCAGATTAGAGACTGATAAAACTCTGAAACTCTAGCCGTAAGTCTCACTTCCGGTCTGGAACTGAATTCACCCCTGTGGGTCAATTTTCAACTCAAAGGATAGACAAATCTGTAACAAACAATTACACTAAGGAGGTTTGCACTCCTCAGAACAAGCAACCATTTGAGATTTTTTTTAAAAAAAGGGCAGCATTTACCCAAGGACAGCGTTCAAAGGGTTAAGAAAGGAGGAGGAATGAAAACATGGGGAAATCAGTGATGTTCCATTGTGGAAATTGACATGAAACAAAATGTGTATGAACTGTTCAATGAAAAACTGGTTTGCTTTGTAAACCTTCACCCAATTCATAATAAAAAGTTAAAAAATAAAAGTATTTTTCTCACCTTGTCCTTCAGGCAGTTATCTGCATAGGATGGTGCCATTAAATCAGTTCCTCTTCATATTGACTCTGTACAACAAAAGGTCACACTGCCCAGCCCTGCACCATCCTCTCAATCCTTATGTTTGAGTTCATTGTTGCTGCCACAGGTCAATTCACCTCATTAAGGGACTTCTGGTGTGATGCTGTAAGAACAACACTGAACTGCGATCCACAAGGTCAGCACAGATTCACCAGCTGCTCCTTGGAAACCCTATATAGGGTTTCGGAGTCAGAACCAACTCAACATCACTTTAACAAAAACACAAAAGATTACAGCCTTGGAAATCCTATGATGAGGGCAGTTCTACTCTGTCCTCTACGGTTCCTAATTCAATGACAACAGGTTTAGATGTTTGGGGTTTATTGTCTGGTATTAAGAAGACTTCAGGGGATTTTTGTTGTTTAAGATTTAAGGTTTAAAGATTATCTCAGGGCTATAGTTTCGAAGATTCATCCAACTTCAAAGAGCCCAGAGAGTATGGATTGCATACACGACTTCTGTATTTTCCCCTTTTGATCAGGATTCTTCTAGAGAATCCTTGATTAACACTTTCAGCTGTGATAGCCAGGTGCACCAGAGAATGTTTTCAATGAGCATCTGGTGAAGTCTCTCCCTAATTTAAGCCCTTTTGTGAGAGAAAGACCTTCCATAACTTTCCATCACCCTTTGGAAGCTTGATCTTCGGGGCCTGTCAGGCTCTGTGCCCCGCTCCACATCATGTTCTACTGGGAAGAGCTTGCATTTTATGATGGGAAGGACTGGGGATCCATGAAAAGGTTTTTACTTCAGGAGAACACATTCACATGGACCACAAAAGATAGCCTGCTTGCTGGCCATTAATAAGAATTCAGTGGGGACTGAAAATAATTGAGATACATGCTCCACATTCTTGGCAGGTGAAATGGCTTATACTGATAGAGGGGGAAAAAAACAAAGTTAAATGTCAGAAAGGGTTAGGGCAGAAAGAAAAAAATTCTCCTTAAAGAGACAGATTTACCACTGGCGGGCTTTTAAAAAAAACAAACATGGATGTTCCTGAATTTATGTTCCTAGGAGGGGTGGAATGATTGGAAAAGGATGCTGAGAATGGTTATACAATTCAATGGTACTGAATGGTACATTTAGAAGTTGTTGAGTGGGCATATGTTTTGCTGTGTATATTTTCACTACAATAAAATACATTTAAAAAGTAATGTCACATCCCCCTCCCACACCAAAGCAGTCAGCATTTGCATAGGATGGAGCCAGGCACTGGTATCCTTTTTTCAATGCATATATTTTTACCAAGAGCTTCAAGTCAGGGACTGTTCCAAGCACTGTGAATACAACTATGATCAGAAATGTTCAGAGTGGGAGGAGGAATGACATAAAGCTGTATCACGGGTCCCCTGGGTTCCCCTACCTAAGCCTGGACTATTGGGCCCTCTCTCTCCTAAAACTACTCAGCATCGGTCTCTTTTGTAAAGACTCACAGCCACCCACTACAGACACAAGACTCTCCCCCCTCAACTTTTGGATCTCCTTCAGTGATTCTCAGAGGGGTCGTCTTCCAAAGTCACTTACTGTTTGTGTGACTTCCTTCCCTTCCCTGTTTTCAACAGCCCGCAGCCCACCCAATAATCAAGACCCTTTTGAATCTCCATTTACCCCAAAATTATCTCACTATACCGATTTGATTAGAACAAAGTACTGTCCTGCCACCGGCTAGAAAACGATCATAATAAATCTAATGATTGTGATGGAAATGGTATGCCCTCTGAAATGTGGGCTTCTGGGTCAGGGTGAAGCCTGCATAACTCTTACAGGGCCACCATATGTCCTCTACCCCAGCAGGTACCCTAAAAGCTGGTTTTTTCCTGGACACACATCCATCTTCTCCCCTACTGTCTGACAGCTGGCTTGGAGCACTGGCTGTTCGTCTTGATACAACCTTTCATGAAGACACAGCAAATTTTCCATGAGGTGAATGAGGAGCTAAACAGTCAGAAGGTCAGAGGTGGTGAACTGTATGGGAAAGAAATGAATGAGGTAGAATCACCTCCAGGAAAAACCCCAGCCCTGTTCTTCCCATTTCTTGCATGTGTTTTGGATTGAATTGAAATTGTCTATGGACCCAAACCCTTGCGAATGTGAACATGATCCATCTTTTATTATGTTAATGGGTCATGCCAGGGTGAATACTAGACCTAATCACTTTTGGGGTGTAAAAAGGGCAGAATAGACACACAGATGCATACATGGGGGTGCAGAGTGTGACAACCATCTACAAGGAACACTGCAGATCACCAGCAGACACCAGAAACGAGGACAGAGGTCTACAGAAGGAATGAATGAACGTGGCCAAGAGCCTGAGATGGACTCTTCAGAACTGTGACAACTTGTGTCTTAAAGTCACCCATTTGTAGTATGTCTGTTACAGCAATAGGAGTGCTGGGGGAGGGGGAGGGGGAACGCAGTAGGGCTTGATGAGAACAGTCTTCTACTCCTTCCCTCCTCCACCTCCACCAACTTATCCCATCTTTTCCACACTGTAGACCTTCTCTTATTTGGGATATCACTTGAGGACACCACAGGATAGGGGCAGGGTCACCTTTCAGAGTGAGGACACCTCCCACAGGTCTTACAGAGATCCTCAAAGAGAGATCATGACAGTAGACAGATCCACACTCACACTTAGACCTTCCTTTCTTCAGCTGGGGCTGTTGCTATTGGTAGGTGCTATCAAGTTGGTTCCGACTCCTAGTGACCCTGGGCACATCAGAACGAAATACTGCCTGGGTCTGCACCATCCTTACAATTATTATTAGGCTTGAACCCATTGCTGCTGCCACTGTGCCAATCCATCTGGTTGGGGGTCTTCCTTATTTTTGCTGACCCTTCACTTTACTAAGCATAATGTCCTTCTCTAGGGACTAGTCTCTCCTAATACGATGTCCAAGGTATGGAAGACAAAAATCTCACCAACCTGTCTTCTAAGGAACATTCTGGCTACACTTCTTCTAACACAGATTTGTTTATTCTTCAGGCAGTCCATGGTACTTTCAATATTCTTCTCCAATACCGTAACTGAAATGCATCAATTCTTCTATGGTCTGAATTATTCATCGTCCAACTTTCATATTCTTAAGAGATATCTGAAAATACCATGGCTTGGGTCAGGTGCACCTTGGTCCTCAAACAGTTACCTTTGCCCTTAAACACGTACAAGAAGTCTTAATGGAATGCATTATTCGATTTCTTGATGCTTTCATGAGTGTTGATTGTGAATGCAAGCAAAATGAAATTTTTGACAACTTCAATTTTTTCTCCATTTATCAGAATGTTACTGGTCCGGCTGTGGGGATTTCCCTTTCTTTACATTGAAGTGCGATTCATACTGAAGGCTGTGCTCTTTGACCTTCTTCAGTATTTTAAGTTCTCTTCGCTTTCCGCAAGCGAGGTTGTACCATCTGCATACCACAGGTTGTTAATGAGTCTTTCTCCAATCCTGATGTTACATTCTTCTTCATATAATCCAGTTACTCGAATTATTTACTCAGCATACAAACTGATTAACTATGGTGAGAGAATACAACCCTGGCGCACAACTTTCCTGATTTTAAACCATTCAGCATCATTTTGTTCAGTTCTAACACTGCCTTTTGGTCGATGCACAGATTGATTCCTCATGAGCACAATGAAGTGTTCTGGAATAACCAGTATTCCCAAAGTTACTCACAGCTTGTCATGATCTATGCAGTTCAATGCCTTTGCATTGTAAATAAAGCTCAAGTAAACATCTTTCTGGTATTCTCTGCTTTCAGCCAAGATCCTTCTGACGTCAACACAATGATATCCCACGTTCCATGGCCTCTTCTGTATCTGGCTTTAGTTTCTGTACTTTTGCAGTCATTCTAGAATGATCTTCAGCAAAA